TGGGACTGTGGAAAGCGACCCACCTTCTAAGTGGTGCAGTCCACAACAGACATCCTTGGGCGGGGCACTGTTGTTTCTGACTGTTGTCCAGAGCGTGCAAGCTGCCCTGGTTTTCTAAGAAGGAGATGAAGTTTCTAGCAGGGCTTTGACCTGCCATTCTTCTCATTCCAGTTATTGTTCTGGTTCACCCACATTTTACAGTTTCAAGTCCAATCTGATTGTGCTTCGTGGTTCGTGTCTGAACCAGGAAGAACCGGTTCGAAGCCCTGGATTTTTTGACTATGAACTTTATGGGAACAGATCACTGGGTCTTTGTCCCACAGACCCACTGGGTGGGTTTGAACTGCTAGCCATGTGAGTATCAGCTGAGCACTTAACCAGTTCCATGTGGGCTCCTTTAGGTGCTTTCTAGAGAACTGCCAAGTGGAAGCAGACTGGTGTGGTTGAAGGGTGGCGGATGGTGAACCAGGGTTGGAGTTCACAGCAGATCTTTTCTGCCTCTTTAGTCAGATTGTATGTACTTTTTTGGTGTTAAGTCTATTGTACAGATAGTATATGTTCAAAATAGAAAATTTAGAATATACAGAATTCCCCAGAGGGATATACTTATAGCATCCTCAGCTGGTAGTGTTTTAGTGTTTGTTCCATTTTTTCTATGTAAACGATACTATCCTGACAATAACATTATGGGTAAGATATTATCAAGCCATTTTAATTTCATTTATTTATTTTTATAAACAGTTATCGGGCCATATCATACAATTCAATAGTTCAATCATAATATCAGGCCATCTTTTAAGATAAGGAAGCAAGCAGTTAACCCAAGGGCAACAGTAGAACCAAGATCAGAATTCAAGTCTGTCTGATTCCAAAATTGGAATTTTCACCAGAACACTACCCTGATTTTTCACTTGAAGAAATCTTTCCCACAGGTTCTTGGCTGCAGAACTAAACCTAGATTTCTATCCCAAATTCCATCTCTCACTTGAAGGTAGAGGTAGTTCCCAGGATGAAAGCACTGCTGGGTCAATGGTGGAATTCTGGCCCTCCGGGCAGAAACACAGGTCAGAGTCCCAGCTAAGGCACTGCATGGGCAGCCACACTACCCATTTGTTAGGGGAGGCTTGTGAGTGGCTATGATACTCAACAGGTTCCAACAGAACTTCCAGACTAAAATCGACAGGAAGAAAGGTCTAGCGATCTACTTCCAAACATCAGTCACTATAAACTTGCCAACAGCCAACAGCCAGGTAAGGGGATGGCACAGGGCCTGTTGTGTTCTGTTGTGAACAGAGGCATCATGAGTGAAGGCCAACTTCATGGCAGCTAGCAACAGGAGGCAAAGGTTAGCAGAGAGGATGGTGTGACAGGCTTTAGCCTGGTAGACATGGTAAGTGGAGTGAAAGGTAAACCAAACCAACAGAGCCCAGGAAAAGTAAAGGTGTGGATAATATGACCTAGTAAGAGGCAGTGAGTTCTCTGAATGCCTATTAGGTATATGCACTGTGCTGAGTTCTTTATATCGCAAAGAAAGAATTACAGGACTCTGGTGTGCTCTCATGGAGACTTGTCCGTGACTCAAGATGCAGTTATGGGAACAGAGCGAGGGAATGCTGCATGGTTGAAAAATCAGGAAAGGTGTGTGCCAAGGTTGTCTACTTTCACCATACTTATTCACTCTGTATGCTGAGCAAATAGCCTGAGCAACTGGATTATGTGAAGAGGAATGAGGAAGCACTGGAGGAAGGCTTATTAGCCTGCGATAAGCAGATAACACAACCTTGCTTGCTGAAGGTGAGAAGGACTTGAAGCATTTGCTGATGAAGATCAAGGATTGATAATGGATTGCAGTATGGATTACAACTTTATGTAAAGAAAACTAAAATACAGACAACTAAAAAATAAAAAATAAAATAAAATACGGACAACTGGGCCACTAGGTAGCATTATGATATGCTGAGAAAAGATGGACGTTGTCAAAGGTGTTATCTTGCTTAGATTCTCAATGGAAGCCGCAATCAAGAAATGAAAGGCTGCAGTGCATTAAGTAAATCTGCTGCACAAGATCTCTTTCAAGAGTTGAAGAGTGCCTGACTATCAAAAGATATAGCATCTGGGGTCTTAAAGACTTGAAAACAAACAAGCAGCCATCTAGCTGAGAAGCAACAAAGTCCACATGGAAGAAGCACACAAGCCTGTGTGATCACGCGGTGTCGATGGGATCAGGTATCAGGCATCAAAGACCCAGAACAAAAAAATCATATCAATGTGAATGAGGGGGAGTACAAAGTGGAGACCCAAAGCCCATCTGTAGACAATTGGACTTCCCCTTACAGAAGGGTCAAAAGGAAGAAATGAGCCAGTCAGGGTGCAGTACAGCACCTATGAAACATACAACTTTCAACTAGTTCTTTAATGCTTCCTCCCCAGCCCCCACTTTCATGATCCCAATTCTACCTTACAAATCTGACTAGACCAGAGCATGCACATGGGTACAGATAAGAGCTGGAAACACAGGGAATCCAGGACAGATAAACTCCTCAGGAACAACAATGGAAGTAGGGATACCAGGAGGGGAAGGGGAAGGTGGGGGGAGAAAAGGGGAACCAATCACAATGATCTACCTATAACCCCTTCCCATGGGGCTGGACAATAGAAAAGTGGGTGAAGGGAGACATCGATCAGTGTAAGACATGAAATCATAATAATTATTTATAAATTATCAAGGGCTTGGGAGGGACAGAGGGGGAGGAGGGAGGGAGAAAATGAGTAGCTGATATTAAGGGCTCAAGTAGAATGAAAATGTTTTGAAAATGACGGAAACAAATGTGCTTGACACAATGGATGATGGATGTATTGTGATAAGAGCTGTATGAGCCTCCAATAAAATGATTTTTTTAAAGGATAGAAAAAATAATAGAGTTGAAGAGCAAGGATGTCACTTTGAGGCCTGACTCAACCACTGACATTTTCACTCACTCCATCTGCATGTGCAAGTTGGACATAAATAAGGAAGACTGAAGAAGGATCAATGCATCTGAATTATGGTGCTGGCGAAGTTTTGCAAGTAGCATGGACTACCAAAAGAACAATCCTCTCTGTCTTGGAAGAAGTAGAAACAGAATGCTCTTTAGAATCAAGGATGGCAAGAATTAGTCTCAAGTACCTTGAACATGCTATCAAGAGCAACCAGTCCCTGGGAAAAGACATCGTGCTTGTAAAGTAGGAAGAAAAGAAAAAGGGAAAACTCATTGTCATTGAGTGGATTCTGACTCATCGTGACCCTATAGGACAGAGTAGGACTGCCCCTGCAAATTTCCTATAGCACAGAGTAGAACAAACTGCCCTGTGGGTTTCCGAGATGGCAACTATGGGAGTCGAAAGCCTCGGAGTGGCTGGTAGTTTCAAACAGCTGAATTTGTTTAGCAGACCAGGGCACCTTGTTAAGAAGAGGGGTATCTAAAGAGGAAGACCCTCGACAAGATTGATTAAACACTTTGGCTTTACCACACATGGGGTGAAACAATAATGAGGATGGCTGCCCCCCACTATCATGATCCCAATTTTGCCTTGCAAATCTGGCTAGACCAGAGGATGTACATTGGTACAGATAGCAACTGGAAACACAGGGACAGGACAGATGACCCCTTCAGGACCAGTGGTGAGAGGGGCGATGCCTGGAGGGTAAAGGGAATGTGGGGTAGAAGGGGGGAACTGATTACAAGAATCTAAGTGTACAGCCTCCTCCCTGGGGGATGGACAGCAGAGAAGAGGGCGGAGGGAGATGTCGGGAGTAACTTATGACAAAACTATAATAATTTATGAATTATGAAGGGTTCATGAGGGAGGGGGAAGTGGGGAGGGAGGGGAAAATGAGCAACTGATATTAAGGGCTCAAGTAGAAAGCAAATGTTTTGAGAACGATGAGGGCAACAAATGTACATATGTGCTTGACACAATGGATGTATGTATGGATTGTGATAAGAATTGTACGAGTCCCCAATAAAATATTTTTTAAAAATAGTGAGGATGGCACAGGAACGGGCGCTGCTTCTTTCAGAGGGTCCGGTGCCCACACGACAGTCCAAACCACACCAGCACCACACTGGTCAAACTGAGTCCAGCGCATCGTCAAAACCAAGTAGGAATCGGGCTTCTCATTGTATCGATATGGAAACCGAGACTCAAGGAAGAAAAGTGATTTTCCCACAGCCACACAGCTTGCGCGCAGCCTGGCATGGCAAGCCTGGGAGAGGGGCACAGGGTTGCAGGCAGAGCACCGGGGCAGGTGGGCAGCGGGGGGGTGGGAGTGGGGGTGGGGCGGGCGCGCAGAGCTGATGCTGTGTGTGGAGCCAGGCCCATGGGCGCGGAGCGAAGCAAGAGACTGGGTGCAACTAAGGGGGAGATGGAGAGGGTGTGGGAGACAGAGGGGCTCAGTCCTGGGAACCAATAAGTAGCAGGAAAGGAGGCAAGGGTGGGCTTGGGGCCGGGGCCCCAGGGGGCCGTGGGACTGAAAGGGGCTTGGAAGGCCAGGCGCGGGCAGAAAGGGGAGGAGCTTTGAGGGCCGCGCGGGGGGCGTGGCTTGGGGCGGTTAAGCC